ATTTAATATGACAATGGTTGATTTGGTTCCTTTTTTTGACAACATGAGGGAAGGAAACCTACCTTTTTTTCTACTTAAAAATGAAAAATAGTTGGTATTTCCTTACAACTTGAGTGATTTATGTTAATTTTTAATTATTGAGTTGGCTTCTTTAATAAGTTTTGTTTTTTCTTTCAGGTGTCTGCCATTGATTGTTTTTGTAATCTGGTCAGTTAATGTTTATTAATAAACAGTGACTGCTTTCAAATTGAAATGGAATGTTGTCTTGGTGACTTTTGTTTTTCTTTGCTATTCCTTAAGGCAAATCTGCGATGAAATTAAATCAACCTAGTTGCTTGCCAATCAGGGTTTCAGGTTGAATCTTGTGAAAAACACTCCCTTTAATATTTGTTAAAAGACTTATGTTCAAAAGAGAAAACTTAGATTTTCACTGAATTGTGCTGTTGAGTTAGCGAAAGGTCTAAGGACGGTCTATTCTAAGGAAGCCTATTTGTGTAGGAAAGGTTTTAAAAGTTTAGTTTACAAATAAAAATTTTTTGCTGAAATTGCATTTTCTCAGTTTTTAGTTTGTCTATAAGTATGATGTAGATATATTTTTCTTTTGCATTCCTTTGCTTGTCTTACATTGCATTTTCTGCCCTGGTTTAGGCACATTTTTAGTAATTCTCAAGTAGTTTGTACTACGAAGGAAGAAATGAAATGTGTGTTCTTGGTTGCACGATACTTAGGAGCAGCTGAAGCACTCATGAGACTAGTGACTTGAATGGAAAGCTTTGGCATTTTGTAAGCCCTGTTTGTTTTATGTATTATCCACCAAATCTAGTGAAAGTTCTCAATGTGGAGTGTGTACTTACAACAGACACATGATAAAAGTCAGAAAGTTCTCTGGTTCTCATTGACCCCAGTGAGAACAGGATGAAACAGGTGCCTGTAGTGATTCTTTCTATGCCACTGCCCCAGAATCACTCTGAAGTATTTGAAAGTTACTAAGTAAAGATGTTTAAAATTTTTTTCATGTTTGGTTTTAAAAGCTATTTGTCCAGATTAGTGAATTTAAAGTCAGTGAATCCTGGATAGAAATTGAAATACTGTCGTTAAGAATCATTGTTACATGTTTGCATGTACCAGTGTTTTGCAAGAAATTTAGTGCCTTAGTTAACTGTTGAGTCAATATATGAGAAATAGTGCAGTAATCTCTAGATGGAACCTAAGAGTACATTTTTAAATGACCTATTTTGGTCAAAATCATATAGTCCTGAATCTTTATACATCTGTTGTCCTGAAAGGCAGAGGTGACTTAGAAGAAGGAATGTCAAATTATAATCAAGTTGTACAAACAGCATGTTGCTAACTACCTAGGCATGAGGGGGTGGGGAAAAGTTAAATATAGAGCATCCTAATTGGGATGAAAAAAGAGACACTTTATATGGAGTTAGTGGTATTAACCAAACTTTAAAAAAATTATAGTTTTAGACTCACACCAAAATTGAGTGGAATGGACAGACTAACCATATACCCTGCCCCCAAACACCCAGTTTCCCCCAGTGTTCAGTGGTACATGTTAATGATCCATGAACCTGCATTAACAAATGGTTCCCCAAAATAGCAAAGCTTTTTGAACTGGTAATGGTGTGGAGAGATTTAGGATAAAGAAATGGAGAGCGTATTTCTGTAGACACCCTCCTGTTTTTCTTCCTGGAAATACACAAATTACTTTCCAAGTAAGACCAGAGGATGGAGAAATATAAATAAGAGATTGGAAGAAAGAAATTGCAGAGGTTTAGGATTGCCATAGAAAATGCTGAAGCACTTGCTTCAGACTTGAGAAACAGGTGCTTTCATCGTGGGGTTCCGTAGAAAAATTTAAAAAAACATGCTGTCAGATGGTAATTGGAGCTGTTAGGTTTCTAGAGAGTGGTATAATGTGCTCAAAATGATTTTGAGAGCTGTTACAACCTACTGAAATACATGTTTTAACACCTTATTTTACTTAGAGAACTCATTCCTTGAAAATGGTATCACTGCCTAAAAGGGGCCACCACTAGAAGGCTAACAATCTATGGGCCACCTAATAGGTTGTTACAAAATTCCTCTCACAAGTAGTATTTCTGTTTGTACCCTTCAGAGTTCCAGCTTTATTAGGTGTTTCCCTAGCATCCTAGTCTTCTCAAGTTTAGCTGTTGCATTCACTGGTCCTTAGCCAATGCTACCTATTTATCTTTGAAGATTCCTTTGTGTGGATTGTGAGTGTGGATTAGTAGTGCTGGCGCTGGAACCAAACTTTCTAAATTGGGTCAATAATCCCATAGTTAGCAAAAGGGTGAAAAAAATGGGGGGTTTCATGAAAACTAAATGCCAGGTCATGTAACATGCTTAGGTACATGGTTGAAGTGCTAAGTAAATAAATGCTACTTAACTGTGATAAGGTAACGAGCACTTAGCATAGCATGGGGGTGCACAGATGAAATAGCTTCTGTTTCCATGTGTCAGTCTAATGGGCAAGATAGACAGCATCAATATGAGAGAAGGCTAGAGGGCTGTCTCTAATGACAACCTCTTACGGTGTCTGGGGACCACCTCCAGGGAAAGAGACAACTTACCAAACCTGCCAGAATACTGCTGTCACATAGGTACCTACTCATGAGTAGTAAATTTTACAAGGTCAGGTTTTTTTTTTTTTTTTTTTTTTTAATGCTACCCAGTACCTGACATAATGAACATTAAATATTTTGTGTCCCATTGCTGTGAAATTTACCACACACTTAAGTGGCTGGACACATTTATTGTAGAGTTAGGGAGTATTGAAGTCCGAAATCCGTTTCACTGGGCCTAAATCTGGTTATTGATAGGCCTGTCTGCCTTCTAAAGGTTCTAGGGGACAACCCATCTCCTTTCTCACTTTCTAGAAGCCACTTGCATTTCTTGGGCAGTGGTCCTTCCCTCCATCCTCACAGACCAGTCTGCTTCCATATTTAACGTTTCTCCAGCTCTGACAACAACTGCCTCCCTCTTATATGCAGCTCCATTGGGCAGTGCAGTTAATCTAGGTTCATCTTCCCACCTCAAGTCCCTTCAGGTACATCTACAAAATCTCTACATAAGGAATATATTGCCAGTTTCCAGGAATTACAGCAGGGAATTATTTGGGAGGACCATTTTTTGATTTTTAGTTTCTATCTCCCAGCTCTGCATTTTTTTTGTGCCTCAAAAAAAGGGTAAGCATCTAAAGTAGGGTGCTGGCCCTCTTACCTAAAAGCAGCTTGGCTTTTTTTACTCTGGAAAAGCCTGATACCGCTTTACAGAACACTTAAGAGCATCTCTGTAATACTTTTTCTGTTTACTTTTTTTCTCAGTCACTCCTCAATGCAAGTTTTGAGTTTGGGCCTTATCTATTTTACTACTTAGAAGAATGCCTGGTGCTCTGCACACCAACCTTCTCCCCTCCCCCCCTTTTTTTTTAATTGAGTGACTCCTAAGGTTAATAGCCATTTAAAAATTTGAGTCTCCAGGTGTTGCTCTGCTCACTACCCATCCTTTAGTACATGTGGTCCTTGTGGCTGGTGATGAACTGGTGAGAGGAGTGAGAGTTGAAAATTGGGCTTGTGGGTATATATATATTTTACACTGGAGAACTCAGACTCAGAGTTGAGTATTATGTAGAGAGAATCTGCTAGAACATTTAGGAAAACATGGGTGATTCCTCTTCTGAGGATTGGGAAGTTTCACAAAGGAGGTAGAATCTGGATGCCTACTGATGGGCATGGAGTTGAGAAAGCATGTCAGTGTGATAGCCAAGAGGATGTGATAGCAAAACTTGAAAACCACTTAAAAATGGAGTGGAGTGCTAGTGTATAGCTTAGTCCAAAGTTACTCTAGGTGGGTGGTTTTCCACTTTGATCTCAACCCCAGGCCTAAATCCTATATTGATTTTTGGGCTACACTCCAGACTTTTTTCTTCTGGGTTCTCCAAGTAATCTTTTCATGCTCAGCCTATTCTAGCGTGCCAGTACCTTTCTTTATATAAGTATACCACAAGTAAGGATCACACAAGTAAGTTGTGCAGTATTAGGTTGCAGGTCTAATTTGAATTGATTTTAATCAGAAGAGCTAGGAAAGATTAGTATCAAATATACTGAAAACAGAAAAGTGGTATCTTAAAAGCAGTTAAGTTTTGCCGAACCCTAAAACCATTATTATGAGGTATGAGATTGCATCTTTACAGGGGGTCAAGAAATGGAGGTAAAGGATTTAGAATATAATTTGGCATGAGTATAGATGTTAAGATCACAAAGTGTACGTCAGGATGTTAGGCTTCCTAGCTCGGGAGCCACTCACCTAACATTTCACCGAAGAACCCTAAGGAGTCAAAGAACATGGAATTTGGCTAGGCTGGGTGAGAGAACTCGAGTGACCATGTCACTTACCTAAGATTGGGCTAATCGGGTATTGCTGGACTATTATTTGGAAGGTGCCGTCACATCAGTACTCTGGAAAGCCTTCTTAGTTTGAATTGTAAAAATGCAACCCGGAGAACTGGACATCAAACTTGTTCGACTGCCCGCTACCCAACCTGTGGTGCGTGGCTTGATTTTGGTGCCCGACTCTCTTGTCAAGACTCATCTCTATTAACCCAGCCCTGTTTCAGCGCCCTCCTCCCACCCATTTTGTAGCGGTGACCCAGCAGGCTGCAGGATTTACAGTACTTGTTGAGTGAGTCCTAGAGGCCTCCTAAGTCATCCAAGTACCTTCCTGGCACTGCACCCTAATACTTGTCCCCTTCTGCGGAAGCTCCCGGTGCCTAGCAACCAGCGCGCGTCTGGCGGGTGGGGTTGCAGCTGCTGGAGCTACGGTTGCCGAGCTGATCTCCGGGACTGACCGGGCTGAGCCGCGGGCGCGCAGCGCTCGTGAGCATCGCGGGGCTGCCGGCAGCCGAGCATGCTCACCCTGAGAGCGGCGCCAGGGCTGGCGCCAGTGCTAGCGCCAGCGCCGGGCGGTCGGTCCTGCCCCGCCGCCGCAGCCAGTACCGCAATAGTGCCGGGCTGACCCGGGAACTGGTCTCGGTGGCTGGCCAACCCTGGCTTCCGCGCTGTTCGCTGCCCCAGCTTCCCTCTCTGACCCCACTGCCGGAGACTCACATCTGGGGGCCGCCACCGCAGCCCAGGCGCTCGAAGAAGCTTCTCTCTTCCTCAGTGGAATTGCCTGGACAGTGAGTGTGGGCTGTCAGCTGGTCTCCAGGGGAGGCGGGGCGGAGGGGATCCAGAGGGGCCCAGAAGGGCCAGGGGACCTCGCAGGGCCAGAGTTGAAAGGGGAGGTCGGACCTGGAGGTCCATTAGTCCTGGCTTCTCCGAAGAAGAGAAACTAGCCTTGTGAGGCACATGGGTCCCACCAAGGAATCTCTAGAGGCTTTTTGAGAGGGGCAGGGGAAGACCGCCGCTGAGGATCTGACCAAGGTTGCCAGGTGGGGTCGGTTGGGAGTTGGGTGAAGGAGAATGGAGCGAAACCTTGGGAAGAGGGCCTGCTTGCCAGATCTTTCTTCTTTCCTCCTGTACACACACATTAGTCTTAAAGGTTCACCCTCCATTCCTCCCAGGGCTCAAACTGAAGAGATGGGAGAATGTGCTTACTTCCTTCCTTTGCAGCTGTCTCTTTTACCCACACTTGTACCCAGCCATGTTGTCTAGGACTTGGGATACTGATCTTATTAATTAGATGGTCCTGACCCGGTTTTCATTGCCCACTTCACTTTGTACCATTTCTGACTTACCTATGATATGTTTATTACTGTTTTCATGAGGGATTAAAACACTAGAAGAGATTTGTGTAATGTGGGTAGCCTAACCTATTATACTATCATTTTCTCCTTCAATCTTTTCGGGATAAAGATATGAAATTGTGGAGTCTCTCCAGACAAGTGCAATTCTGCTACCAATTCAGCAGATTGTGTTCTGAAGCTCAAGAAACCCTGCTCTTTGTCTTTGTTTTTTGTTTTTTTGTAATTTATTTATTTATGCAGGCAAGCGGTGTGGGGTGGGGGGCACGGTGGGGTGGGGGGCGGTGAGAGGATTTACCAGAGACAGTGGGGAGCAGAACAGGGTGATGTACTGAAATACACTGCTGAGGGGAGCAATGGGCCAGACAGGAGAGGTCTGCTGCGTTATGTAAGTAGTTCCCTGGCCAGGAATTGAACTTGTGGTGCAGAGGCTATGGATAGCTTCATAGTGCTGTGCTTAACCCCTTGGGCCACCAGGGAGGACCTGCTCTTTGTCTTTGATTGCTTATCTACCTTGCTCATGAGTTTATATCTCCCATTACAATGGATTTTCCTCTTTTTTCCTTTTTTTCCAAGATTTATTTATTTATGCATACAAGAGCTGGGGTATAGGCCAGAGGTGAATGGTGGGGGGAGCAGGGTGTCAGAGGATTCACCAGAGACAGAATGGAGAGCAGAACAGGCAGAGTGACTGAAATACACTGCTGAGGGGAGTAGCAGGTGAAAGAGGAGAGGTCTGCTGCTCCATGTGGGTTACCTCCCTGGCCAGGGATCAAACTGGTGCTGTAGTGACTGCAGATTGCTTCATAGTGCTGACACTTAACCCCTTGCACCATCAGGGAGGCCCTACAATGGATTTTCTTTAAAAAAAATACTTCTGATAGAAAGTTCTTAGATTTTGAAAATTTAAATACACTTAAAACATTGCTATTTTTCATTTATATAGCACAGAGGATATAGTTAGAGGTGAAATACCTCTTTATTTCCCACTCCTTTCTTTATAACACTTTCTTGGCATTAATTTAATGTTTATCCTTGCATTCATTGTTCATTTGTTTTTTAATCACCAATGGAATCATATATATTTTTTTTGAGAATTTGTCTTTTTCACTTAAGATATGTTGAATACCTTTCATATCAATTTACTTAGCTTGGCACTGAAAATCTCACATATATACCATAGTGATGAATGATAATATGGTATATACATAAATGTATCGTAACTTATATAACCATTCCTCCTTGAGATCGGTTCTAGTTGCTCCTTACTACAAACAGTACAGCAGTGAAATAATACTGTTATATGGGAACAGTTCTGTAAGATAAATTTCTTAGAGCAAAATTGTTGGGTAAGATATGTACATTAAAACATTTTGGTAAAAGCTTGCCTTCTAAAAAGTCTTTACTAATTTACTTTTCCAAGCATAGACTGTGGTGAGAAAAAACTGTTTACTCTTACTTTAAAATAATGTTAATAATAATTTCCATTTATTGTTTACTGTATGCCCAGCATTGTGCTGAACAAGCTATATGCATTTTCTTTTTTTTCCCACCACCATCCCTTATATGACCTTGATCTTTCTCCCTCTGCCTTCATCTTATCCTCAGAGCCCTCACTTTGTTTATTAATGTCTGCTAGTTTTTGCAAGTATTTTTGTCAAATCATCTGTTATGTAAATGTCCAGGATTTTTTTTTTTCATTCTGACTTGCTTTACTGTATAATTCCCTTGAACTCCCTCCATTTTTGCTGTAAATGACTGCATTTTACCTTTCCTTATGACTATTATTCTATAGCAGGGGTATATCACATCTTATTGATCTGATTGTTTATTGATAGACATTTAGGCTGTTCCCATGTCCCAGCAAATGTAAATAGTGTTGTAATAAGCATTATAGACCATTTAGTTTTTTTCATTGATCATGCCCTAGAGTGGGATTGCTGGGTGATACAATATTTCCATTTTCAGTTTTTTTTTTTTAAAGATTTATTTATTTATGCATACAAGAACTGAAGTACAAGCCAGAGGTGGGGGGTGGGGGTGAGGATTCACCAGAGACAGAGTGGGGAGCAGAACAGGCAGATGTACTGAAATACACTGCTGAGGGGAGCAGCGGGCGAATCAGGAGAGTTCTGCAGTGCCATGTGGGTAGCTCCCTGGCCGGGGATCAAACTTGTGCTGCAGAGGCTGCGGATAGCTTCATAGGTTGCATCTTAACCCCTTGCGCCACCAGGGAGGCCCCTCCATTTTTAGTTTTTTAAGATGAATCCAAATTGTTTTTTTTAACAGTTGCAACAGTTTACATTCCCATCAACAGGGTAATAGGGTTTTTCTTTCTCCACATCATCTCGATCACTTGTTGGGGATCTTTTTAATTTGAGCCATTCTTACAGGTGTGAGATGGTTTCTCATTGTGGTTTAAAGCTGCACCTCTCTTATTTGATGTGATGATGAACATTTTTCCATGTCTCTATTGGCCTTCTAGATAGCATTTTTGGTGAATTGTCTATTCATATCTTCTGCCCATTTGTTAACTGGGGTTGTTTGTTTTTCTGTTATTGAATGATATAGTTTTATATATATATGTAGCATGGAAATTAGTTCCTTGTCAGTTGTATATTATGTGAATATTATTTCCCATTCAGTAGGATGTCTTTTTTTTTTTAACATGCATTTAAAAATTTGATCTTCACTAACTCTAAGAGAGACAGAGATACATTATTTTCTTCATGACCCTATGGTTATTGAAGGACAGAATCAAGATTGGAATCCAGGTTCATTTTATTCCAATCTTGTGTTCTTTTTAGGATTTGAATTTTTGCCCGGTTGTTGACTGAGGAATGTGTTTCATTTGGGTTGTTAGAGAATTGAGGTTATGTATTTATATTATAGTATTATTAGTAGTCCCTTTCTTTGCTAACACCTGTAGAATTGGACTTGTTCTAATGCTTCCTATGATTTGGTTCTTCTAGATTGCCTCTCCAATCACTTCTCTGCCTTTTCTTTATCTTCCTTGTGTTTATTTCAAGGAAAGCCCTGGTTTTCTTCTTTCTCTCAAATCTCCTTTGGCACCTTTAACCCAGTCTCCAAACTCAATTCTTTCCAGTTAAATAGATAACTCTTAACATTTTCATTGCCCAATCAACACTATACTGTTCAAGTCTTAATACAGAGATTCAGGTTATATATCTCCGCTTTGATGTCCTATGTTATCTAAAACTGAATTCCTCCTCCCCCAGACTAACACTGAATTTAATTCATGGTTCCATAATTCTCTTACATAGTCAGCCTAGTTCACATCCCCAGCCATAGTTGATTGCTTTTTTTTTGCTCAACCCTTAAATCATTTGTCAGTCTTGCAGTCCCACTGCTCCTACTCTAAGCACTCTGGGCTGTTACTGGAGTCTCTTGGCTCCAGTTTCTACCAGATTAATCTTCCTAAAGCTTAGCTGTGAATATGCCACACCTTTGTTTAAAAGTCTTCAGTGACTTCTCATCACTCAAAGAAGAAAGCACAAACCTCTTTGGCCAGCATTCAAATTTTTTTTTTAAAGATTTATTTATTTATTTATTTATTTATTTATACAAGCACTGGGTACAGTAAGAAGCGCGGGAGGGCGAGAGAATTCACCAGAGTCAGAGCGGAGAGCAGAGCAAGCAGATCGACAAAGTACACTGCTGAGGGGAGCAGCGGGCGGCAGGAGAGGTCTGTGTGCCATGTGGGACCCTCACCCGGTGGCCAGGTATCGAACCAGCACTTCAGAGGCTGCGGGCAGCTTCGCAACCCATCACTCAACCGCTGCGCCACTGGGGAGGCCCCAGCATTCAAATTTGTCTGTGATTTCACCCCAGTCTACATTTTATTATTTTTTCCAGTACCCTTATCTGAATCCCTCTTTCCAGACAAGTCAAAAATTCATATTCTATTCTCCATCACATCTTTCATATATCTGTATCTATCCATATAGATATAGATATAGATGTAGATATAGCTATATATATATATATATATCTTCTTGGATATATGTCTATCCACATTTCTGTCTAAATTCTATTTATATATAATTTCCTAGTTTCTTCCAATTGTTTTTTTAATTTCCATGTGAAAATAACATCTCCTGCCTTTAAATCCTCTCATATGATGATGATGGTGGTGTGTGTGTGTTTATCCCCCGTAAGGCTACAATTTGTATTTTGCCTTATAGGATAGTTGTGTAAGTGACTTGTTTTTCAGAATCTCTAATTTGTATTTGTTAGGCCATGGCACATTCACATCAACTTGTACAAGCATAGTACAAGCATAGTAAATATATTTGAGAAAGTAAGCTATTACATTCATACTTGGGAATACAAAAGTGCATTTCACTGGCTTTAATAACAAACAGATCTCAATATTTTAGTGATTTAACATTCAGAAATCTGTTTCTGGCTCACAT